AGAGCAAAATCACATAAGACATGAATCCAGAATACAAATTTATGGCAAGAAACGTAAATGGACATCGCTTTTCACCTCGGACGTTCGCCTTCGAATGGCAGCCTCTAAGCAATGGATTACTCTTTGCCTCTCTGCTTCAGAACTAATAGGGCTTCCATCCACATGCCTAATATAGTACTCCTGCTTAACAAATGCATAGCCAGATTAGTTTGGTTGGACAACTTTATGCAACCAAATTGCATCAAATGCATTACGAAACAGAACTTGCCTGAGAAGCCTCTGGTCCTTCAGCAATGACAGTAGCATGGTACACTACATACTGCATATCAGTCAGTGTACAAACTGTATCAAACAACAACTTGGGACGGTCAGGAGACCTCAAGTTCACAACTGTATATCCCTTATCAGCACAGTTCTCGACAGTCACGAGGGGTTTTCTCCGATCACTTGTCGAGCCACAATCCAAATCATCTCGGTCGTAGTCCCGGTCTGCATACATCATTTGGTGCAGCCTCCTTTCCTTGTGAGTAGAACCCACAGAAACAGCAGTATTGGCACTGCGCTTATCTCGATCCCCTTTTAAGACAAAGAGTAGAAGCTGCTTTATCTTACCAAGTCGGTCCGGGTCATCGATTGGAAACCCAGTAGCCTCGTCAGTGATGTATACAACGGATGCCATTCTTGAATTATGAGTCCAAACTTCTGCAGCTACCACATTGCATTTGAGGTCTGTTAGGACAGCAAAAACCTCTGAGAGTAATCCAGGCCTGTCTCTTCCAGTCAATTCAATGGTTGTATGTTCCTCGGCAGCTTGAACACCGACCGATCTCTTCAAAGACCGGAAGCTCCGAGCTCTAGGCCCAAGTGACTGCAGCAAAAAATCCATCCATAAATAAGAATTCCAAATAGTCATTACAAATTCTTATTAATGAGGCTTGATTGAGCGCACATTATGTTCATTTTTCACATAAGAATTCCAAAGCGTTGCTCCAACCTTCTGTGTCTCTTAAATGAGAAGTTAGCCAAAACCAACACATTCAGCAACAAGCATACCATATTATATGCAAAGCGAGAGGAGGAGAGAGTAAAATCACACAAAATTCCCATGAAAAGCTAATCTAGAATCAGAACCCTCTTCCCAGTTCCCATATTTCCTTATAATTACAGAGGAAGCATTTGAAATGGAGTTTTAAGCTGAATAAAAACTGTAGGGGTGAGTGAAAGAGGGCATTGAAATTCACCTGTTGAATGCGCTCAGCAACATCATTTTCAGAGAGCTTGTTCCCACGTTGATCCGTTACATGAAACACTAAAGAAGAAAGATGGAGGGAAAAAATAGTGAATAATTGTTCGCAAAATCGGAGACCCATTCCCTTCATTCTAAACGGAAAATCCAGTTTCAGGGCAAAAAAGAAAAAGAAAAAGAAATCAAATCTTAGCTGACCATCCATGAACCATTCGCCATCAGAAGAAATATAAGCTCGTCTGATTATGAGATTCAAATCGTTGAGAACCTGAACCACTTCCAGCAAACTCCCTCGCTTATTCGCACTATCAACCTGAAAATTTCACGGTTGAAATCGGAATAGGACCCAAGACCCATGTCCCATGTTGAAACAGGAATTGAAGTTGGGAAAAAATACCTTAATCAGAGTGGCCTTTGTGCTGGAATCATTGTCAATGGTGACCCTGGAAAACGAAACCCAATGGAGAGAAGAAACAGAGTAAAGAAAGGCATGATGAAAATGGAGAGAGAGAAAGGGAGAAAAAAAGACCTGGGTGGATTCATACGATTGACAAGCTTCTCGAACTCGTCGTCGAGAGGGAGGGAAAGGGACCAACAATCCATAAGAAGAGGAAGAGAGGAATGGGTAAAAAGCGGAGGGGGGAGTACTGGAAAAGCCTGCGGGAGAAAGGATTAGGGGAGTAAGTTTTTTTTTGGGGGGGGGAAAGAGAATGGCGTCTCCCAGTTTGTATGAGATACCCTTTCCAATGCTGATTTCTGTTTCTCTTTCTTTCTTTACCTTTCTGTGTGGGTTGAAACTCACCTTTTCTGCTTTCTGCACTGTGTGATGCTGCCTCAATACCTTCCTCTTCTTCTTCCTTTTTTTTTTTTTTTTTATTTATTTGGAGCAGCCATAATTATCCTTTATTGTCATATCTATCACTCTATTTTCAGAAAATAAAATTCAAAATTATTGGACTACCCACATAAGTTGACGTCTACCCTATCATCATCACCAACTTAATTTTGGTTGACCTTCCTTTGGTTCCTTCCCCTCCTCGCCTCCGAACCATTTTTTTTTATTATAAATTACTTAATCTCAATATATTTTTCAACCCATCATGAAATTTTGAAAATTTAAGACAGAAACAAGGTAAAAGATTGTTCCGGAAAAGAAAAAAATAAACAAATAAATCAGCCTTAGATTCTATCAAATAAGATATTTACTTTAAAAAATATCAACTATTACTTAAAAACAATAAATATTCCAAAAAGAGGTTAGCAGGAAGGGTATCTTCTTGAAAGAATAATTTAACAAAAAAAAACCACATGGGACTTTTAATGTACGGCTAGCATTGTCTTGTGGTAGGACCCTCACCCACTTCTGCTCCTTGGCATTTTGGTCCACTTTTTTTTTTTTTTTTTTTTTTTTTTAATAAACTAATAATTAATATTATTTTCATTTTACTTGGAGGGTTCCCCCTCTTCAAATATGGCGATGGTTCACGAGATTGGAAGTGTAGTATGAAGTCAAAAATTTTGGATATGTGTTGTCTCTATTTATGTAACATTACCCGACAACAACTTTGCCCTCTTTCTTTTGTATTTCTATCGGTAAGCTCACATGTTAAATTTATTCGACATCGTTCTATACAAATCTGACATATAAACTATTTGTTTTTTTAGATCATTTATTCTTTCTTATCCTTACTTAGAAATTGTGTTTTTATCCGTCAAAATATTTATCTATTTTAATACCAAATCTATAAAATGAGTTGAGTTAAATAAAAAAAACAAATCAAATTTGAAGATATAAAGTTGAAATTGGTTGGATGCCTCAAAGATAAAATAAAATCTGGATAATTTATTTTGAAGACACATAAATAGTAAATAAAATTGTAAAAAGTATATTTAGTATTTAGTTATAAATATATATAATTAGGAATGTATGTATGTTAATTTTGAAGAAGAATATTGAGATGATGTGGGATGGTTGGTTGACCACTTGTAGAATACATCCAAACTCTGTGTTTCTTTTTAAGTTTTTCTATTTCCAAACTAATTTTAAAGTTTTAAATTTTTTCTCCTACTAATAATTATTTTTAATACCTACTTTTATTAAAATTGAATCTGAATTTTTGGAAAAAAATGAAAGTAATAATGATAAAGCAAGTCAAACTTGAGGGTATATTTGGTAGCTTGTTTTTTTTTTTATCCCTAGGTTTTGATGTTTTGATGTTAGCTTACTTTGGTTAATTTTTTTTATTTACTTACTTTCCATCTCTAGCTTCGTCATTCTATTTAATGTTTAATTCAATGAAACTAACATTAATTTACAATTTAAATCTTTCAATTTTTATTTAATTTTACTTTTCAAATCCACTGCACTTTGGCAAGATAATTTTTTATTACTTGAATAAAAATCGCAATTGAGTTTTGCTTAAATAGACTTGGGATCATGATAATCGTATCATAATTACTATATAAAAGTATGGGGTCTAACACTATTACTTTATATTCCTTTGAAAGATTCTCACTTTAATACATCAAAACAATAGCTTTTGACTTTTAAAAATTGATAATAATTTATTTTTATTGTTTTGGAGATTAATTTGATCTTGATTATGTGGAAATTTAAAATAAAATAAAAAATTTAAAGAACCGAACTATATGAGAAGCTTGATCACTAACTAATTAATGATATGCAGCACACAAAGGCTTGTAAAGTTAACAAAAGGACAAGGGTCAACTGAAATGGAGGACCAAGGGAAAACAAGATATTCCTTCTTTCTTTCTCTTTTTTGAATTTTTAGTATTATTGTTTAAAATGAAATATGTTATTTAAATGTGTGTGTGTGTGTTCTGGTGCAGGTGGCTTTCTAGGTGTATCCGAGTCAGCCCCACGTATTCATTCGCGTGTTTGAAGACATCCACTCATTTTAAATGGAAACCGACGTGAGAATCCATCACTCAAGCACACATCACCGTTATTTTGTTTGTAAATCAAAAAAAAAAAAAAAACGAAATTATCAAATTTATTAGATTTTGATGGATAATAGAAGGAATGGGTGGCAAGATATGGGTGCGAAGAGGAAGGATGGTATTATTCCTACGCCAAATTTTCTGTCGCAGCTAACATCTTTACGTGCGTGTTCTTCTTCATTATTATTAAAAGTTGTAAATTGTACAAGGAGAGTGAAAAGAAAAAAGAAAAAAAAAAATGTGGCGCGTAATAAATGAGAGGTTGGAAGGGGGTGGGGGAAGGCACATTGGCACATGGGGCGGGAGCAGCATGCCATTCACCCATTCCGCTCCTCTGCTCACCCTATTCTTTTTCGGCCTTTTCTTCTCTTCTTTTCTTTCCCTTCCTTTTCAGTCCTTAAATAACAATATACAAAAACAACTCCAATTTGATTCTGAAAGGCGTTGATGGGCCGGCCCGATCCGAACAATTCCAATCTTCTGTTGTGGTCCTATAATCAACTACACTTTGGACCACTCCCACGCATCCGAATCTCGAATCAGGCCCACTTTGATTGGGATTTGGCGCACCCCCTTCCAACCAATTTTTACTTCAAATTTGCTTCCCATTCTAATCGGAAGTCGAGTGGATTTGGGGTTTGGGGTTTGTGGGCTTCTTTTCTCTGGGGGTTAAAAGGAGGAAATTATGGTTGGTGGGTCTGCCCATCATTACTTATTTCTAATATATAAATTTAAGTATTGGACAATTATGGAGGCCGATGGAACTCGCATTTGGTCTGGGGATCAATATACTCCACAAATTTGGAATGGATAGATTATTGATGGAATAAGTTTCCAATATTATGTTCACATAAATTACTAATATTACAATCATTTTTCTTTTCTACAAATTATTTATGGAAGAAAACAAACAAAATCAGATCACTCTTGCAGTGAACTCAACCACTCGCTCCTCCTCAGAACTCCCCACCTGCATGTTGCCAATATCACACTCTATAATCAAAACCAATGGATTTTTTTTTCTTTCCAAACATTTATTTCCATTTTAAATTCAAATCAAATTCAAATTCAAATCTGGATGGTGAGCACCAAAAATTTACCTTAATTTGATCAACCCAAACACACTGCAAATATGAAGCAATCTTCAATCTTCGTCCTCTTCGCTTTGCCTTCTCTCTCTTTCCGCTACGCAATTCTTAGTGCTATTTTTAGGTCTTACAAATCCCATATCATCTCGATTCTTGAGAGTTGTCTTTATCGGGAGCTTGGTCCTGCTCCAATGGCGCCGCAGAGGGGTCCCGACTCTGCCCCATTTGGTGATAGATTTGGGAATACGAAGGCGGGTTCAACATCCCTCTTACATTATTCCCCTCCTGCGAAAGCCCTAGCTCCAGTCCCGGTATTTGCTGCTGCGGCTGCTGATTCCCGATTAGCGTCGGGAAATTCACGGATCCCAAATTCATCCCCTGAAATTCGAATCCATGGAACCCGAATTTGGGCATAATCGAACCCGGATTCTCGCTGACGAACCCCGGCCCGATTCCGCCTAGGGACGGCCAGAATCCGGGCGTACCCATGTGAGATCTGTTCAAATTGGCCCCCATCATCGCCCAATTCAGTCTTGGGACGGCGTCAATTTTGGGGGTCTGGGTGGCGGACACAGAGACGGAGGTGTCGGGGTCCGAGAGGGAGACGCCGGCGGCATGGAGAGCAGAGGCAGGGATGGTACCGGAGCCAGTGGCGGCCATGATGGAGGGCTCAGCTTGCTGGAGGAGCCACTGGATGGTCTCGCCGTCGGTCTTATGGCCTAATTCGCGGGTCAATTGGAAGACGCGGGCGGCGCAGAGGGCAGGCATGCGGATCCTACGCCCACGGCCATCCACTTTCTTGTGGCGGTCTTTATTGGAAGTACGCTTGGGAGCCAATTGTTGTTGGTGCTTCTTGTTTTGATCTTTGTTTGGGTTTGCAATTATGATATCTGAGGATGGGGGTGTTGGAGCGGGCGATGATGGTGGTGGTGGTGGTGCTGCTGCTGATGGCTTCTTGTTGTTGTGCTCTGCCATGTCTGCTAATGGGTGTGGGGATGGGGGTGGAGGACCCAACAAAGGTGGGTTCCTCTGTGTGGACTAATGGGGTTTATGAGAGGATCAGATTTTGGGAGCAGANAGAGAGAGAGAGAGAGAGATAAAAGAAGAAGAAAAAAAGAAAAGAAAAGAAAAGAAAAGAAAAGATGGGTCCTCCTCCATGATTGAGTTCTCGTTGTTGTTGGAACCTTACACTTTGGGTCAGCTCACCCTTCTAGTCTTCGCCTTGGCTGCCTCACCCCTCTAATTTGGATTTTCCCCCGTACTCTTTTACTTTTTATTGATGGCCTAAATTTCATTTCCCTGTTAGAATTTGGAATCAATCATTCAATTATGATTTTAACCAAATTCCAAATTGTTTGGTAATTTTTGAAAGCTTTACTCATTTTGTGCCACTAATTAACGCTGTTGTTGATTGAATTAGTGAGCAATGTTTTATTATGTAAATAATTACTTGAAGACGAGGACTGAGGAGGGTGTAGGATTCAACGTTACAGTCAACTCAACCAAAGGGTAAGCAACGATGGGGACTTTTCTTCGCAATAACTATTGTTAACCCTCTTCACACCGACATGGAAACTATTTCAAATTAGCTTTTATTTCTAGTAAAAAACAGAGTGAAACCATACCTTTGTATGACTCTTATTATTATTATTTCTCATTTCCTCCTAACCTAATTATTTTTAGAGCAATTGTTGGGAAGCTTTTTCAATGGCCTAAGGAAAGCTACAGAACCAATCCAACATAATTTGTTGAGTTTCAAGAGATGGATTTGGACGGGCTCCAAGGATATACTAGCGACTCCGGTATGTAGCTGTACGTCGTCCTATGTTGTGCCTTATGATTGATTTATGTTTGCATATTATGTCATTGTTGTACGTGAGAATGGTATGCTATGGAATTTGGAATTTGATATGTTATGTTTGGTGAGAATGCCAACACAGGTACATAGGCCTTTGTTTGTTTGATAAATAAATAAAATGAATTACATGATAGAACAAGAAAACACATTATCATCACTGAAGGTTTGATTGGGGTAAATATGGTGCAAAGAGTACTGAGGAGGATATTTAAACGCAAAGTTTTCTTTCTCTTGCTTTCCATCCTTGTTGTGGTTGTTGTTGTTGTCGTTGCCGCCGCCGCCGCCGCCGCCGCCCGGTTTGTTTGCTGATTTTTCTTCTTTCTCTTGCTTCTTATTCACCACCTCTACGTTCTTCTTCATTTTCTTTTTAATGGCTTCCACCAGCTTGGGAGGATCCACTATTCCCTTCACCCTCACTTTCGAACTCTCTCTATCTGCTTCCACTGCCATCACTCCTGCATTCACCACTCATACATGTGTTTGAATTAATATCACCAATCAAACAAGAAGAAAAGAAAAAAAAAGAAAAAAAAAGAAAACAATCTGACCCTCCATTCTTCCAATGCTCTGCTTGATGTCATTTACACAGCCTTCGCAGTGCATCCTCATTTTGAGCTCCACGGTCTTCACCTGTATTTGCAACGCCAAAACCAAATAGAATAATAAGACGAGATGAGAGATTATACGAAGGAAGAAATAAAAAAAAGAGGTGAGGGTTTTACGGACCTCTTCCTTCTTAGGAGGCTCAGCCTTGGTTTGGTTGGGGGTGTCGGGGAGGGGCTTGGGAGAAATAAGTTGCACATTTTTGGAGTACTTTCTCCGAATCTCTTCCAGTATTTTGTTAGGCTTCAGGTCTTTTCCCTTTATTACCACTTTTGCATTCCCGACATCCGCCGTCACTTCCTCCACTCCTGCAATGCAATCCCCCAAAATACTTTTTTTATTTTCTCTTAAACAAATTAATAAGTACTAATATCTTAATTACTTACCCTCACAACCTCTCAAGTATTTAGACACCTTGGTTTTGCAGGATTCACAGTGCATGTAAACTTTCAGCACCACTTCCGCTATCTTTTTTCCCTCTTTCTTCTCTTCCTCTTGCCTTTTGTTTCCATTTCCATTCTCGCCCTTCAAAATTTCATCCACTTATCGATTACTGAGTTTTAAATAAAATAGATAAAAAGCAAGCCTTTCTTTTTCTTCCATACCTTTCCCATCTCTTTCAACTCGATCACTGATTGATTGAGTTCCAATGTTGAAAGTACAAGCGTGAGTGATGAGACCCTAATCTTACTGCCCTATATATATATATATATATATATATATATATATATGTAACCTAACACTTCATTTCTTACAGAATTAATTTTATTTCCAAACTCACTTCTTCCTTACATGCATATTTATTCATTATTTTCCTCTAAACTTGTAATATTTAATGGACAAATTGAGAGGTTGGGTGATGATTTTATTATTAATTTTTACTTTTTTTTCTTTCTTTCAGTTTTATAAAATCAGGCTTACAAGGTAAAGTAGTTATTACATTTATTTAAATAATTTAACTGCTGATACTTGTATTTATTTTAGTATCTGGAGATCAGATTTTGCAAGCTTTTATTTCCCCTTTTCCTCTAAACATTTTACAGCTTCAATTAATTGGAATAGATTAATTGTAACAAAAATGTCGGCTAAAATTTAACTGAAGGACGTCAACATTAATGAAAAATTGAATTGAAGTTAAGACAATAAATAATTAATTGATTAATCAATACAAATCATGTTTTTTCTTTTTTTAAAAAAAACACCTTTAAACAAAATGATGAGATCCTTCCTTTCTATAAAAATAAAAAAAAAATAAAAAAAAGGAATTAAACTGCTCATTAATGTCGATCAATACTCTTTTATTTTAACCATTAAAATATTTTTATGATTATTAAATGCATCAATAAATTCTCGTCTAATTGTTTGATCTGGTCGGCTCCTCCGGTAGGTGCATCGTCTGCTTGTTCTTCCTCCGGCGGCGTCTTCTTGTTTGACAACGGTGACATGGGCCACAAGCTTTTGCACTTCAAAAACTCCCGTTACTCTTATCAGCTCAGGGTTCTCCTCCTCAACTTCTACGCTTTCAACCCCTTTTTCAAATCCAGAGTACTTCAACACGTATACATTTCTCATTTCACTCCAGATCTACTTTACTAATGACCACACCTTTCATCTTTTGGACACATTTCTTCATCTGGTATGTACAGCCCTTACAGTGAACTGTAGTATATCGTAGGACCACACTAGCCTCCTGAAATACTAAATTGTTGCTAAAATGTTTAGAAGGAGAACAAAAGGCTTAAAAAGTATTAAAAGGGAAAATAAATAGCTTCAAAAATATTTTTAGAACTTCAGCTCTGCTTGAAATTCAACGGGTTTTCCGTTTTTGCGTGTGGAGTTCAATTTCTTGAAAAGCCCCATTTTTCCGGTCTTCTTGTTCACAATAAGATCATCTCTCTCTCTCTTTTCTTTTCCTATTCTCATTTAAATACTAACCCTAATCAATCAACGTAATTAAGCCTCCAAATATAAAATATCATCCACACTTGAGTTTTCATTAAAAACCATAAACAAGCATGCATTGTTCTTTCACTCTTCCCAATCCAAGTAAAAGCTAGATTTAAGAAAGAAAGCACATCATCATTTTATTTGCATTCATTCAACATTTAATCTTAGATTTTGTAGTCGCTCCATATATATATGTTTTATTTAAACATAGGATGCACGTACCTCAACACAAGTGTATTCCCCTGTGTGGTAAATGTTAGAGGAGTAGAAGATGACACGTTCCATGCACAGCCCTGACACTTATACAACACCTGTCATCCAACTCAACCATTGCGCACACGTTTCTTGCTCTTCATTCTCCACGTGCCACCCAACTCACCGCTATTTCTCTCTCCTCCTTCTAACTCGGACCCACATCCTTCTGCTTCTTGACCCCTTCATCTTTGCCTCTCTTCATAATACCGCTCTCTCTCTCAAATCAATCTCATACTCCCTTCTTTCATCTTCTTACTCGAAAGTAAATCGTAGTGGAACAATCTAGAATTGAATCTGATGTCGGGTGTAACTCTGGCGGTGGCCCCACGGACAGACCCAAATGACGCGGTGCCGCCGCAGCAGAAGCCGCTGCGGCGGCAACAACAAGAGCAGAACACGGTTGTTGGAGGGGTGATGGGATCTCTCCGCGTCATCGAACTCCAACTTGTTGCTTTCATAATGGTGTTCTCTGCGAGCGGGCTTGTCCCCATTCTCGACCTGACTTTCCCTGCGTTCACCTCCGCCTACCTCCTCTTGCTGGCACGGTTTGCATTCCCGTCTCGCGGCCATGCGTCGGGCGCGTCGCAGGAGATCTTTCAGGCAATGTTAAATGTTTAGTACGCCCAAGAAATTGGGAGTGTAGTTCGATTGATTGACTGATTGATGTTTAGAACTGCGGTTTGTTGTTTCAGGGGAGCAAGTTGTTTAGAATGTACGTGGTGGTGGGGACCACGATAGGGCTGTTCCTGCCACTGGCATATGTATTGGGTGGGTTCGCGAGAAGTGACGAGCATGCGGTTCGGTCGGCGACTCCGCATTTGTTTTTGTTGTCGTTTCAGATTCTGACGGAGAATGTGATAAGTGGGTTGTCGTTGTTCTCGCCGCCGGTGAGAGCACTGGTGCCGGTTCTGTACACGGTGAGGAGGATTTTCGTGATCATGGATTGGATGAAAGATGTTTGGCTGAACAAAACCTTGGCGGCCAATGCGCCCATCAACGTATTTTTCTCCTCCTCCTCCTCCTCCTCCTCCTCCTCCTTTGTTCCAACATTATTAATTACAATGGGTTTATTTAGTTTTATAAAAATGGCAGGACATAGCATGGTTTTGGTTCGGAAGGACATTGGCGGTGGCTAATTTTGCGTATTTCTGCATAAATCTATTTGGATTTTTAATCCCAAGATTCATTCCAAGGGCATTCGAAAGGTATTTTAAGGACCGAGATGAGGACGAGACTCATGCCAAAATCCGAGAGGATAACCTCTCTTCCGCTCCCCCCAAATCTCACCCCTCCGATAAGAAGACCGACTGATTATTCTTTTTCTTTTTTTCCTTCCCCCCCCTCTTCATTTTCATCTTTTTACTACAATGTCCTTTTTATGGTCTGCTTTTGCTCTTTAATTTTTTATGGTCTCCTTTTTTTCGATTTCATGTTAGATCAATTAATTTTGGATATGTATACATACAGACAAGGAAGTGATGTATTAAATTCTCTGGATTCCACTGCTCCCTACTTACCCGTCTCGGAATATATTTCAAAATTGTTAAATTTAATGAACAGGATTGGTTAGTCCTTAAATTATTTTAGTAGCATACAATGAAGATTGAGAACATGAATTAGGCTTTTTGGCATATATAAGACCCACCTCCAAAACTATAATTTAGGCTTTTAAATTCAGTACTTCCTTGCAGATATAATCTTAAAAATTGAAGCATCATCTTATTGAACTAAAAAAGATGGTCCTCAGATTCGGACGCGTGGTCTGGTGATTTTGGTCGGTTGTTCTTATCCAGAAGTGGTCCAAAAGACCATTATGCCCCTAAAAACACAGTAATAGATATTTGTACGGACCTCTCTGTCGTGGGCTCCCTTCTGTGTGATGTTAAAATATTCTTAAGTGTGGAAAGCTGGGGCCCGGTCAGTACTAATATGTTGCGCTGGGTGCCAAATTTGTGTGGTTCGACCTCGCGCTTAAATCGGTCCCACTTTTCTGATTACATTTCCTTTGTGCTGTTATACTCATTTTGAGGAAAAAATTGTATATATTTATTAATAATTGTTGTGGTTGCGCTTTAAATTTCGTAATCCTATTTTTATTCTACACCAATTAAAATTAATTTGAAATCACTTGAGCATCTTTAAGGCTCTTAATTTGAAATCCTATGAAAATAATGCATTTCATTTTTTTTTAATTTTTTAATTTTTCCCATGGGAATAAATATTGACTGAAATTGAAATATAAACCATATAAAAGGGAGTGAAAATTATAGGGCTTGAAGAACAAATTCTGCAAAAAAGTATCGACTGAAATTATTTCTTTCAAACTCTCTATCTCACGCGTGTTTGAAATGGTCAAATTTTTGGGTCAATTCTTTTAAGAATTAATTCCGTAGCTAAAGAAGAATAGGTTGATTGTTAAGCCCTTCTCGTACTTTAAAAAATATTTAACTTCGATTAAATTATTTGAGTGGATACGGCTGGTCCTAATTCTCCTAATTGACGAACAATGCCATATTTTAAATCACAATTTATTCATACAAATACCCTAAAGTAGTTTTACCATAACTCAACATCCCAATATTCTATTTTTATTGTTCTATTGTTTTTGCAATTCTCTGATTATTTCTATAATCGAATAATTCTTTTATTCATTTGATTAAATAAGCTACCATTATTGTTATTGGGACATAATTCACAGATTTATTGGAATATATATGTATATTTTTGATAATCAACGATAATAAGAACTTAAACTGACGAGACTGAAGGTATATACACATAAAAAGAGAGATCATGGTGTGTTTTTTCCTTTTAATTCATTGTTTAAATTGAATTACAACCTCCGAGGACTCTGAAGCAATAATATTTTAAAAAAGAAAGTGGCGCAGTGAAATTTGGTTTAGTTTATTCAAATCCCAATTTGTGATACACGCGCTCCCTCAGCGCGTAAGTTACAGAAAAGTTGATCACAGTGTGGGCAAATTTATAAATTGGCAGTGGCCTCTACATTTAACCAATCCCTTGTTTAATAATCTAAGTTTAAATACTGTAATGGTCTCTAAGATTTTCAAAATGCCTTTATTATTCTGCTTTTTAACCTTTATTCATTTCAATTTACTTTTAAAAAGTAAAGCATATTTATCCAAATTTTAACATAAGCCTTTACTATGTATGATACCAACCTTTCAATGCAATTCTTTATCCAATTTTAGTGAATAATACATCATGTCAACTATGTTTACCAAATTTATTAAATATTTTATTAGCTTCAAAGAAGATTATCATCTCATTTTGTGTATATTTACTGTATGGTTTAATCTCAAAATTGTAATAAATGGAGGGATAAAAGAGGAAGAAAGAAAAACCAAATCTGTAAATTAAGTTAAAAAGTAGGGTAAGAAACAACGAGGAGGGCGTCTCTCTCTTTCTCACTCTTCTCACTAAAACTCATAGTCTCTCAATCTCTCCTCTGCCTTAATTATTTCCAATTAATTAAAAAAATAAAAAACCCTTTTCTCTCTCCTCTTCGTTCGTTCTCTCTCTCTCTAAAGCCCACCGTTGTGAAGAAAGCTTAAAACGCAAAACCCACATATTCGAATACCCATTTCGTTATCGTCCAAGAACCCTCCACCCAAGAAAGAAAGAAAAGCAGCCTCCATGAAAATAAAGAACAAAGGCAAAGTCCATCCATCTCCATCTTCTTCTTCTTCCGATGGGGACTTTTTTGAGGTCTTCAACTATCTTCCAGTCGCGATATTGGCTCTCATCTCTGTTCTGACCGCTGACGATCGAGAGGTTTTGGCCTTCATGATGAGGAGATCCATGGAAACCTCATCGACCTCGTCTGTCGTTTCTGGAAATAAATTTTCCAAGAGAGCTCCAAAGAAATCCACTGCTCCACGCGCCAGTTCTGGTAGCGCGTGTGTTCACTCGCCACCGTCTTTTACTTGCTTCGATTGTTACATGAGTTACTGGGACCGGTGGAACTCGTCGCCGAACGGGGAGCTGATTCACCAGGCCATTGAGGCTTTTGAAGAGCAATTGGCTAACGGGGAAAAATCCTGCAAGAACGTCAAAGGGAAGAAGAGGGAAAAAATCGGCCGTCAGTCGTCGGACAAGCCTGTGAATGTTGTTGCCCCGCCGTTGCCGGAAGTTCTTCCTCTGCCGATTGATGAGGGGTCTTCTGCGGCTCCGACGACGTCTGGGAGTGACGAGGTGGAAGCAGCGGAGGGAAGGGGAGAGCCATCGCGGACTGAGGATGAGACGGCGGTGGTGATTGTTCCGTCGCCGCCACCGAGCAACCGCAAGGGTTTGGCCCGGAAGGTATGGCCGGACGTATTAGGGTTATTCAATTCTCGTTTATGGAGTCTTTGGGGTCCACGTTAGAAATTCAGAAAATAAAAAAGAGAGGATATTTCGATATTTTTCCACTCTTTTTTTATTAGTTTTTTTTTTTTTTTTTTTTTTTTTTTTTTTTTTTTTTTTTTTTTTTTTTTTTTTTTTTTTTTTTTTTTTTTTTTTTTTTTTTTTTTTTTTTTTTTTTTTTTTTTTTTTTTTTTTTTTTTTTTTTTTTTTTTTTTTTTTTTTTTTTTTTTTTTCTGGACCCAAGATGAGAGTAAATTCAAAAACAAGAAAAAAAGAAAAAGAAAAAGAAAAAGAAAAAGAATTGAGTAGATGTTGTTTTGCAATGGAATATATAGAGTATCGTCCCATCTTTGATAAACTTTTGAGAAATATGCCTCTTTTTTATTTTTTGATAATTATTAATGCTGAATGTTTTGCTTTGGATTACCCCTTGTGTTTGGCTGCTCACAAAATGAGAAGGAAAGTGGAAAACAAAATGCATTCAAATTATAATAATACATTTTTTCTTCTGGTAAGTTTAAGATTGTGAGATTTGCACCGACTTCTTCTTAAGAGGCATTGTGGGAACCAGTTTCTAAGTTAAGGGTGACCCCTCAAGGAATTAATTATTAACTGATAGTGGAGAAAAGAAACAGAAAATCAGACTCACGAGTTTTTTTTAATCAAGCTTCTATCCGGAAAATGCTTCATAGGGAGAAATAGAAAAAAGATGTAAAATTCAAGTTTGGAAGGAGTAGGATTTATGAGTTCATTAATAGTGTTATCTACGTAACCTTACATTTAAGGTAATGTGTTTTTTTTTCTTTTTTGCGCCACATGTTGAACAATGTTTATAAAACCTAGGTAGGCAACTGCCATGTCCAATTTCAAAATGAAAGGAGAAGAGTACAACTCTGTTTTTGCAGCCCTCTCCTCATCAATCGTACTTGTAAATCAGTGTGTAATCTAATCTAAATTACTTGCAAATTGGATTTTGATGTAACACTAAGCTCTTCCTGCTGCTTCTTCAGCTTGAGAATGGTGTTGTACGCCGCATCCTTTTTGCGATCGCCATCTTTCAAGCGTTTCTGTAAACAACTTGTGTCCTTTTCTACCTTCTCTACCTTTTTTTTTATCTGATTTTCCGCCTACCTCATCCCAATCCTTGCCCAGAGCCTGCAACTGTATTCATTTCCACAGCTATTGATTACAACATATCCTACTTTAATAATTTCCCCTACCCTTTCTTTCTGCCTCTTACTTACTTCTACTCGAATGGATTCTTGTGAACCCAAGGACTTCCACAATTTTCCGTTCACAACACCATCGCCAATACCTTTCTCCCTGCCGATCTTCTGTTGGTTGTATGTCTTTCAGAATGGCTTTTTCACGACCAATACTTGTTGCGCATTTGCTCTTTTAGGCATTCAATCTGTTGCATAAACCCAAAAACTTAAACAGATATGATAACTCATCCAAGTATACTAAATCACAGAATTTGACCAAAACTAGAACTAAATGTCCACGATTAATGCTTAGATATTGAATATTACAGGAGCCTGGAGTTCTTCCACTGTCATCCCACCATCCTTCCCTTGTATTGCATTCATCTCCCTTAATAGCTTCCTCTCATCGGCCATGTTTTTACAGTCATGTCCCATCAAGAAACACCGTTTCTGCTCACACATCACTAAATATACCATGTACATGCCATAATTAATCTGAACAACAACAAGAAACTCCAACAAGTCTCACAATGAAGAACACAGTAAGTTTAGAGTTCAATAGCCCATACTTGCTTATCGACTTCCCCTCCCGACAAGCACGACTTATTCGATTTATCCTTATATGCATTGTTTGCAAAACTCAGTTTGTCTAGTGATAGATGCAGCACAGCCAATCTGTCTCTTTCCCAATCTGGAGTGAGTCCACAGTTATCGTAGTAATTTATCGCGCTCAATTTCGCCCTCACCTCATCGCTATCCATCTACAAACCAAAACTTATTAACATTAATCACCATCACCTATTCAAGCAAAAGGAAATGGGATTATATGAAACCATCCTCCTTTTGACTGTATGAAGTTCATCTGATAGTTCCGTCCTAAGCACTTGTTCCTCACGCCAAGTTTGTATGTAAAAAATATTTGTGAATTGAATGAGTCAACTGTTTGTGGGTTTACAATGGACATGGATATTTGGTCATGGCCAACGGTCAACATCAGCAATCTAAATTTAATTTCTAAACTTAATAATTTTTTATGATTCACAGATCTTCGTAATTGAAGGTTTAAGTTCCATTAGATGTGGGATTCAAATGAACCAGAGGAAGTTCAAGCATGCTTACAGACAACAAAAAAACACACTGCATTTCAGGTTTAAGAGGAAAGAAGTTCAAAAGGATCTTCAGCATCTTTCATCAACCATTTCAATCTAGTTTTAGAAAGCGATTCCGGAATAACAAGTTTACGACTATCCTCAACCAATTCTAATTTCTGGTTGCCAATCATCCTCCCATCCATGCAAAGTTCTCGATTACATAGGGACGGCACGACTCTCTTTTTGTAATCCTTTCTGAACTCCGGCCAATTATTCCACATCTGCATAAACTTTTCAACCTGACGGGGGGAAAAACAAGTCTTCATAAGCTCTTAAAATCCTAATTTAAAGCAAATTCTTCAAGTGCTACTATATTTAACCTGTCCTTGACATAGTTCTTCAAGTGCTGTAATGTCTTTCATTTTAGCAAGTTCTTCAACCTTCTTCATGAGGGATCGATATTGGTAGTGGGAGGCATTCTTAACCCATAAGATACCACAAACAATGCATCAGTGCAACAGTCTACGAGTGAGTGATCAATTATGATGCATATAATAGATATACCTCTTCTCCATATTGTTTCTTCAATTTAAGAATAGTGTCATATGCCTCCTCCTTTCTGCGGTTGGTATATGTCAAGTGTTTCTGTAGACACCTTATATCCTTTTCTACCTTCTCTACTTCTTTCTTTGTCTTCTTAATTTTGGACCTTACTCTTGCCTGTCTTTTCCTACATTCATCCGAACAGTCGTAGATTTCCTGCAACTTTTGTTGTACAAAGAACATGGGATAAAATTTTATTATAAATTATACGGTTCAATTAATCGAAGTTCTGTGTTTTCTTGTTTCCTCTTACTTCTTCTTGAATGGCCTTTTTCAAATGCGAGGAGGTCCACATCTCTCCCTTCACCGGAGCATCACCAATAGCTTCCTCCCTCTCAAGCGCACGAGCAATTTGAACATCAATTTGCGCACACCACAGACCGCTCAACAACGGCATAATCTGTTTGTATAACTCAGAAAATTAATAAAGATGATAATTCATCAATTCCTAAACATAATATTCTAAATTCCTAATGCTGAGTACTACAGAAGAATCGACTTCGTCTGCTGTCAAGTCACCATCCATCTCTTGTCTTGTATTAACCTCCGCTAGTAGCTTTCTCTCATCAGCCATATTTTTACACCCATGACGCATCAAGAAAGATAATTTCAGGAAGATAATAGATTGCATAAGACGAAAAAATCGAGAAAGTCTAAAAAGTTGAATGAAATACATGAGAGAAAAGTTTGGAGTTGATCATACTTGCTTATCAACTTTCCCTCCTGACAAGCACGAGTTATTTGGTTTCCCTTTACATGCTTTGTTTGCAGAAGTCAGTTTGTGTAATGATAGATGGAGGACATTCATTCTGTGTCTGTAGTATTCTAGGCTGTATTCATCCCAATTTTCATAGTATCGTTGGTTCTCCAACTTGGTGATCACCCGAGCACGGTCCATCTACAAACAAAATTTATTATATCCAGTGTGTGTTGCACATCGATATCACTTCATCTAGGAAAACTGATTTGTCTAATAAATGAAGATTTCAATCCTCCATTGTTATACATCGAAAAGCTCATATGAATCATGATCTGTGAATTAGAAAAAATAAGGACTATAATTCTTTTCCACATACCTGTCTGTCCCTTATCTTCTGGGCGACAAGAATTTGGTCTTGATTCATCTTTGTAATCGTCTCTTCAGCCTTGATTATGGCATCTATGTTTGAATTTTCAAGTGCCAAAACTTCGGCAAAATAAAATTGTCGAACTCCACCAGGCATTTCATCAAGCATTTGGTGTTCATCAACTACCGCCTCATCACCAGCAACTTCTGGTCCTTCCTCTACCACCTTGTTCTCTCCAAAGTTGCAATCTCCTTCTCCCATGGCGATGTGCTTTGCCTAACAACGCCCAACAAAGCAAATATCATTCAGAAACACAAATAAATTACACCCATTTCTAAACCTAGCATCACATTCTTGTTCCTTAGGCTATAAACTAGAACTAATTCACATTTATTGTTGCAATATAAAAGCGTCAATGATAAGTGCAGAAAACTCAAATTACAGAAGGAAAACAGAGCGCGGAAGAGACAGAACGGGTTCGATACCAAAAGATCGAAACAATGGGTGGTTCGAAATCGAGCTGCGAGTGGGTGAAGATGGTAGCCGGATTATACGACACAACCATCCTTCTATTGGCTGTATGTAAAGGGAGCTCATTGCTCTGCACCGAGCACCTGCTCGCCACGCCAAGTTTGAATGCATGAAAGTCAACTGCAACTCTGCAAGTGGGTTTAGATATAAAATGGAGATTTCGCAATTTGGGCTGCGTTCCCATCACCGGAGAGACGTGCAATTCAAGACATGAATTGCCAAAAATGGTTCAAGAAGTTCGTGGCTAAATTAAAAAGACAAACAACTTGACTGCTGGTTGAGATAAACATTTCAAATTTGGTGGCCGAAAGAAAGAATCTATCATAATAATGCTCAAAGCTAGTTTATGATCATCTAAGTCAAGCGGTTGAGATTAATTAATAAATGGAGAATTCAATTAGAATTTTAGGAGAATTTGAAGCATACTTTAATAAGCCTTTTCATGAGGATGGGATATGTTGCTTTAGAAGCTAAATTTAGATAAATCAGAATCTTTTGTCCCCTCGTCATGTTGGTCATTGGGTGGTGGCACCATAGTATAGAGATTTTGAGATGTCCAAAATTTGAGTTGAATGTGTTCGAACAATGATACAATTATTCAGTGAGTCTATCATAATGTGACTGTCTCGTAATAATCAGTGAGTCTATCATAACGTGACTGTCTCGTAATAACAGTTGGATGTGAATTCAATAATTTATATGTCCTTTATTGAGATCAAATTTGGTAAAATGAACTAGTCTTGCCTTTTAACGGTTGTATCATAATAATTCAAACATCCTATGTCCTTACGACTAAGATCACCCCTAGAAAGTTATAATACTTTCTTGTCACATCTACCTTGGACTAAGAATTTTATTTCATAGATCCTGCGTCCTTAAAGTTCCAAAAGGATGATTTCATGGTATTGAGAAAGAAGTACTATAATTGTGGCTGGTTGAGCTCTAGAGTGATAGGAAGGCCGAATTAGAGTTTAAAAGAAGAAAGCAATTAGAATAGTATGAACATCCAAGTGAGTGTAAGGCCTCAATCTGTATCCACCACCGCCCAAACAACAGAGGCAGCAATGTTCTTCAATAATACCCAACCAGCCTCGCAGTCAAGATACAAAAACTGATCAAAAGTAGGGTTCAATTCAGAAATGAAAGTTAAAACGCATTTAGACAAACAGAGTAATGTTCATGGCGTAACCACATCACAGTGAGGCCTATCTATATGCTTTGTTTTTACATAACGAACGAGGGCTGTTGCATTTAGACATGGAGATTTATAACACAGCATGTTCAGTGCATACATTTGCATCCCCATTGGAAGGCCTTTTAGGGTATTGGTCAAAAGGAAAAGTTCAAGAGAAGGATAAATATGTGGCGCACTTTGTCTACCACATCCTTGTTTTCCCTCGTGTCACTCATATAACACATTCGGATTTTAGTTTCATGTTTGGTTCCTAAAAACCAAAGTAGACACAAAAGTTTAGTAGGTCCAATAAAATGCTCATCTTTTCGTTTTCGTTTTCGTTTTCGTTTTCGTATTCTAATCTTTGAAAGCCTTGATAAGAAACATACCAGAAGGCACAAGGTTTGAATATAAAACCTCTTCATACAGTGAATTTTGTGTAAAGGGTTAGTGGTATGAACACGTCTTTTCATGGATCAATGGATCTACCAATCATTTTAGTTGGATTTGACAAGCTTCGGTAAAAACTTGAAAAGCTTGCAAGTTCATGGAGCATGGCCCCCCTTGCGCCTTTCCCACTCTCTCACTACATCTAATGCAAATCTAATCAACTTAAGATTCAAATATCAATCTACCAGGTTCAAAACTACAAAACAAGTAGACCAACCCAACTTATCAGCTCCAAATTTACCAATGACTTGACATAAAATCTGAACCCTCTGTTCCTAAATCTTCCACCTGAAGTTGCAAGACACAGTAAAGTAACATTATAATCAGTGCTCACATTTTCATATTGGGAGCATATCCGGGACAGACTTGAGCCAAATGAGATCTTTTTCATGCTAAGGAAATGACTTGAGAAGGCTTCAGATACGTGATGACAGAACTGAAATCATATCAATTTCTTTCCTAGGAATAGTATTTTCTCTCGCGTAAAAGCTCCGAATAAGACTGAGAGGATCAGGACGTTTACAAATTATTGTTACAGTTAAAGAGGATAAACTGCTTCCTTTTCTTCTTCTTACCCTATCTCACCAGGTTCCCATGTCTTTAGCCGAAGGATACTTCTGATATCCACAATAAATATGAACAACAAACAAGAACTAGCTGATATCCACAAGGGTAAAATTTATGTCCTATAACAGAATGTTTCAGAAACGTGGCATTGTAAAAGGCTGGATCTAAAAGCACATAGGACCCAGGCATATTGTTTTCTTTTTATATTTTCTTCTCGAAGAAATATTCTGACATGACGCTAGAGATCATGTTATGAAGTCTAAAAGACTATTGTCACCTATTTCTAGCAGGGAAACAAGCACATATATCAGACGTTATAAATTAAAACTCTCTCCATACAATTGTAACACAATTTGTGGTTAGCAACAACGATGCTAGAATCATGGTCATCTGCCTGATCCAATATGGAATCACATATGAAGATAAGATATTGAAGAGTTTTGTAACACAATGTATAGTCTCTTCTACCTTTC